TAGCTTTGCGCGAAATTCAAAAACAAACATAAACAAACAAACAGTCTAAGAGCTTGGGCATAGAAACAACAAATCCTATTTCAATCGTGCGACTTTGGACCTAACTTGTAATATCATAAAAATAGACACCTGAATTACTAAAATACCCGTGACACTAACAAAACCACACAACCATAGTACCAAAGGAATCACATACTCGTAGTTACCAGAAAATAACGTACTTCTAATTCAAAGAAACCACACAGTTATAATGACAGAGAAATCACGGACTTGCAAGACAACAGGTAAAATTATCCACGTGTATTTTGTTTAAAACCTTACTACAGAGCGGTTGAATAAAAGATATTTTAAAGGACAAGAAAGTTCGCTACTTATTAGTTTCTGCATAACAATTGTATTTCTTTTTTTATACATTTTAAAGAAGGATATTCAGGAAACTTGTTTTACATTATTTGTTGACATTACCTAGAAATATTTTTATGTATGAAATTTAAACCATCCGAGTTACATGAGCGTAAGTTTTTATTTAAGTTTCATTAAAAATACTTTAAAGTGTCAATTTATATCATGATCTAAGTCTTGGAATTATTGTAAAAATCCTTTACGGGTCAACAATAACCATGAATAATTTTTGTAAGCTTTCAATCCTCAGTTTTCGAGACAAACAATATTAAGAGCGTGATGGCTGATTAATACGATTACACGAAATTAATATCCATAAAATACAGGTTTTGTAACTGCAATTCATTACAGTTGTCTACAGTCATTGACGCACAACGCAACGGCTGAGGACAGAACCCTCATCAAGCGGGTGGAGTAGGTCCAGTAGGTGGTTTACAAAGCACAAAGTCACTACTCGAATTTTTCAGAGGCTGAAACCTTTGATCAGGAGCCTTCTCCATAAAATGCTTAACCCATAGAGGTAGACATGTCCTGAATTGACTGTGACGGTTCGACATTTTGAAGTACAAGAACAAAGTATTTATAATGAGAAAGCGTCACCTGTGAGAAGGTCTTGCCGGAATCTGACTGAAATGATCCTCTGGCATTCTGATCAATAACGTGTTCTTTCTGGACATATTATAATATTTTTTTTTATAAATCTCTTTAAATGTCGCCCTGTGGTACAGCGGTGAATTTACGGCCTTACAACGCTAAAATCCGGGCTTCGAATCCCCGCGGCGGACACAGCAGATAACCCATTGTGGCTTTGCTCTAAAACTAACGAACAAACAAACTAGCATAGATTTCAAGTAATAAATGAAGTTTTAGAAATATTCTGTATTATACAATGAAAGACATTTTATTAACAACTTTCAATAGAATTTTACTAAGGCGGTTTGTACTTTAAATCGCGCTCCTTTTTTTCTAACATACACTTCGCCAACATTTTAGAATCGGCTGTAATCTTATTGATTTAACACCTGTGATTTAAATTTAGTAGTTTTGTTGAAGGTTTTGATAGGATTGAAAGTTTTAAGAGATGGACAAAGAGATGAAAATTGAGTTATGGCTATGGTGTTTTCACGAGATCGAAATATAAAACAATGCATATAACAAATACTTTAGGATTTGGGGGGGGGGAGTATTAGAAAAACTCCTTCTAGTGGTGTGACCCGGATGTATTTAAAGTAAATTTTCTTAAATATGGTTGAGATATATTTTAAGCTCAAAGCTACTCAGCGGGGAATCGAACCCTGTCTTCTAGGGTTGTAAGTTGAACACCGGGGATTTTCAAAACGTAGCCGTTTAGTCATTTCCACATTAACTATGTATTTGGCAAATTTTATGTATTTAATTAACTAATTCGTTTATTAATGTATCATATTTATATTTATTTATTCATTATATGTGTGTCGCTATTAGTACTTATTTCTCAATTAGGTTTCCTATTCTGAGGTACAACAACTAAAACCTGTAAAAATAAGCAAGTTTTATACGAAAGCATTTACATTTAACCTAATAAGATTCGTTTTATAAATTCTACCCAAGAACTTATTTCTTTTTGGGTGTTAGGCAGACTCGTAACATAGATTTAGGTGAAGAAAAATATGGTATAACTTTAGGATAAAGTCTTGCTTACTTTCTGACTAGTATTGCTGAAATTAGTATGACTGAAAGGATTAGAGTAAACGTTTTTGTATCAGAGATTTTCTTGACAAGTCAAAATTGTCTGCTTTAAAAAAAAATATTTTTAACAAACAAAAATGCACTAACTTTTTGTATAACAATCTTTATTCGAAAACGATTAATTAATACAGAATGAAATCAAAGTTACTTTCACTAACACATTCACAGTAATTTACATCTTTTAACTGTAATCATAGACCTTGATGACTCTTTTCCGCGATGTCATGTCCAGTCAATTACAAGAGTTTACATTATAATTGTAATCATAGACCTTGATGACTCTTTTCCGTGACGTCATGTCCAGTCAATTACAAGAGAAGACGTCGCGGAAAAAATCATCAAGGTTTATGATTACAATTATAATGTAAAGTCCAGTCAATTACAAGAGTTTACATTATAATTGTAATCATAGACCTTGATGACTCTTTTCCGCGACGTCATGTTCTGTCAATTACACAAGTTTTAAAGTTTTATTTGAGTATCGTACCAAAAGACTGATGTGTTACATAACACGTACAGAGTACAGAAAACTCGACCTCCTCGAAACAGCTTTATTCTTCATGCATCACATGCATAATTAAATTTTATAGTTGAACTCTCTCAAACGTTTAAGTGTCAGATATTGTGCAGAGAAATACATGACTATTGTAAAAAAAAAGAAGTGATTCACTGAAAGGGTTGAAATCAAACATTTTTTTAAAATAAAAATTGCTTTCGATAACAGATATGAAAATTTTCAAAGTCCACTCAAGTGGAAATACAAAGTCAAATTACAATAATTTCATGATACCGTCTTTTATTTCGAAATAATAACCTCTTTTCAGAAAATTTCCATTTCTTCTCACTAGGTGGATAGCCTAGAAGTTTCTGAACTTTATAGCGACATTCTATTACGCGGAACCCACAAAACCGTGTAGATTTTATCCATACTCCAAAAAAAAAAAAAAAAAAAAAAATCGTTTTCGGACAGTAAACTGAAAATCAAATGAAGGGTACAATGGGTTTGTTCGTAACAGCCTTTATCAATATTTGAATTACGTTCAGTTACAAGAAAAAATATTAAGTTTTGAACTTTTTTTTTACGAATTGATTGCATGTTTTGGTGGATGCATATGTTCGTATTACAGATTTAATGACAAGATAGTGGCTAAAGCGTTTTAAAACTGTGTCCAAACCTTTAAGATTTCTCAATATATATCTAACCTTCTCAAGTATGTAGGCTTCCTATATTTATTCCTTTTCAGAAGTGAAAACACAACCAACGATTTCACGTATCATCCAAAAAAAGGAATTCATATTTTTGAAATGAGAGGCTCTGCTAGTGCTTATTATTTATTACAAGTTGATTAGAACTAAGTTAGGAGGACGTTACAGCAGTTCTTGTACCCTAGTGGGTCAGCGACAAGTTTTTGGATTCACAATGCTAAAATCCAGAGATCGATTCCGGGCAGTGGATAAATAGGAGATAGCCCATTGTGTAGTTTTGTGCTAAAAAAACAATAACAGTATTTCTTTAATTTTAGAAGTGAGTTACGTATTTCTCTGGACAAATTGGCTAATTACACAACGTTCAGCAGGTTTCTACAAGTAAGAACAGAATCGCACAACCAATTCATTCTAGTAATAACTGAAACACACACACACACACACAAAACAATCAGCATTAAATAATAAACATTAGAAGCACAAAACTTAAAATATAACAAAATATGTACATCAGTATACATGACTTGTTTCACGTTGCTATCACATAAAAAAGACTTGGACACACCACATCCTTTATATATTCTCACAGAACTTTGAGCAGTGTCTAATTTAAAAGCCATCTTACAAAGTCACAACAGTATCGGAAACAAGAGCTACTCCTTCATGCCCCTTACACTTCATTAATTGGCTATAATATATGCACACATTGTTGTTGAATTCCAAGCACATCAGTCTTTGTATAACTCTTGCTTCTCACATCCTGAACAACAGGCACAGACGCTCTCAAAAGCATGTCAATTCCAAAGCGGTTTCAGGGGTACGAGGCTAAAGAGAAACCTTATCTAACACTGTGAAAATTAAAGATATAGGGTTCCAATGCGTTTATTTTGTGCAGCATGTATCAACTTTGGAGCACCGGATTCCTGTACAGCTATAAACTTTCGACTGTTCTTTTTATTGTTCACTTCATTTTGTATGACATTATACTTGTTACAGCTGTCTAAATGATGGACATCCCAAAACAGATTTGTCATGGACTTCGGCCTTGGTAGCTTACGGTTCATATGCTTCACTTCTTTCTCCTTGGAGCCTTCTGAACCTGATGACGTTTTACCTCCGGAATTACTGGAGTCGAGGGTGTTGTTAAACTCGGCTTCCATGTTGGTCAAAGACTTATAACGGATGTTAAACAAAGGTGAAGTCGTTAATGATTTACTTCGACAGTTTTTACCTTGAGTAGTTCGATGAACAGACATTCCAGCTTCTTTAGAAGGGGATGATTTGACATATTTAAACATCCTATTTTTATTACTTTGTTTCTGTAGTGAAGGGCTCTTGATAAAATTCTTATTGTTATAGAACGCATGATTTCCACTAGCTATGCCAATTTTTCCGGTGCTGTTTGAGCGGACAGGCACCCTTGGATGATGAACGGGCGTACTCACGCCTTTCATCTCCTCGTTTGTTTTGCCAACTTTTTCATAAACGTGCTCTTCAGGCGACATATCTTTGCTCGCCACCGAGCTTCTCTTATCTTTCGAGGGAGCTTTATTGACGATGCTGACTGTAATCTTCTGGGTAGTAGGTTCAGTGCTGATTGATAACTTTCTGACAGGAATTGTCTCGACTGGAGGAGGTTCAGGCTTCTCTGGGTGTCCTGGAGCAGTAATGGTCTCTGGTTGTGGTGAAGGTAATAGGTCAAGTTTGGTATGTACTGGGGAATTCGCACAAGTTGGAGAGGATGCATTTTCTCCAAAGAACTGCTCTTTAGTTTTGAGTTCAGTCTTTACTTTGCTAGGAAGAGGGGCAAAACCTCGAACGTAATCATAGATTTGGTCAATTTCGTCGTATCGTTCATCGGGCTCTTGGCGGCCCTCTTTGAGTTTTGTGTCGCCACTTTGAATACCACGAGCGTCTACTGGAGAAGATGTTTCTTGATCCGAGGTGATGAGTGTTTTGACCGTCTCCATACACATCGGATCAGAAAAACTTCGTCTAATTAAGGGAATGTTTCGCTTTGAATGTTTGTGATTGTGAAAATAACGGAAATGTAGCTTTCCTTCATTTTTATATTCCTTTCTTATGATCGGATCAATAACCTGAATCTGGTCAGACATTTCCTGAATAATTTTTTTACATTTTTCAGACAACTTTGAATACTCGCGAAGCTTTACCAGATTTTCTACGTTACATGGAGCTTGAAGTTTCAGTGGCAGGTTCATAGGAATGGAAATCACGTTAAAATCTTTTAGTAGAGGTAAAGCCATGGCGCTCTCTTCTTCAAATAAAGAGCACAGTCTCATTTCGGGAATGAAACTTGATTTAAGCCCAGGTGGGGGTTTACCATGTACGAGCCTAACCATCAAAGGAAGTCGTTTTGATAACAAGTTCTTAATACTGTGTACACCAGAAATATTATCCTCGCCAGCTATAGGACTAAATTTCCCTTTTTGTTCAAAACTAAGGTAAAGAGTCTTCCCTTGAGAATTCAAACAACGAAGGAAACGCCCAGGACCTTTTCCTCGGTGTGAAGGTTTGAGTAACTCGTTTACCAAAACCAGAATTTCTCCCGCCACAATAGTCTGTGTTTTATCTGACATGATGTCCGAATCCTCAGATTTACTTAGGAATACTTTCACGTTTTCTCTCACCAAACACGTCTTGGGAAACACCCGTGCCAGTTCACCGACATTCTCAAGACAACGCATAGCACGGCCATCTTCGGAAAGAATCTCAAACCAGCCATTATAGTTATCCGGGATAGCTAGCTTAGGCCCAACTGGCACGACGCCTCGGTTATCTTTAAACTTTACAGACTGAGCCCCCACTCGTACTTTCTTTCCAGCCGAAGCAATAAACACCATTTGGTTGAGAAACGGGTAAGGTAAGGTTGGCACTCCAATATTGTGGTACTGTCCTTTGATGATTTTAGCCACTTGAGGAAGAGAGAATTTCTGGGTGAACTCTTTGAGATAATGTCCTTCGTCCCCCCACTTGACCACTGAGAGATATGCACTGGCCTCACTGCTGGCCATTCCGGATAGGAAAACCTGGACTGAATTTCTTATTTGTTATATAACTAGTAGTTTCTAATCCTGCTCGAGCTGCTGGCCTTCAACTACGGTCGGCTGATCTTTCACTCGGTTACTAAGCAACCACCGCCTCCTGACTTCAAGCTGGTTTGTTGGCCTTCTAGCATACGGTAGATCTGGTGGGTGAAAAAAAAAGAGCTCTTATATTCGTCTAAAAACATGTTTTAACAAAACTTAAGCAGACTAGTTAGACTAGATAATGAACTACAGCAAATTCGTGACTCTGAATATGAGATGTGACGTAATCAGTATGGCTGCCACTTTTATTTTAAAATGTTAATCATCCATTTAATGGACATTTCAGTAATATGAAAGAACAGTTCGCCATGGTAGTAACTGAATTAACACAAAAGCCTCGTCTCTTTTTTTGTTTAATTGACCACCTGTTAACTCTGTTTTTAATGAAGATATGATTTTCTTGAGACGAATATGAAGTATAAATTAATAAAAAAACGTGTTTTATAGATACCGTAATATGTAAAATTAAGCAAATCATGACGTAACATACAACATCCCGATCCATGTTTTAATCCATTCAGCTCAGACTTATGTCCTTACTAACATAAATATACTGATTAACACCTTACGCATCTTTCGATAGACCTGTGAGCAAGATAATATGCAATAGACTGACCACTGCTTAAGCACTTATACAAGTCTTGACTTTGATAACATATACGTAACTGATCCTTGTCTTAGCCCTTTTAGCTAAAATCTGTGACCTTAATAACATACAATAGACTGACCACATCTTAAGCACTCATATTAACCTTTTGACTTTGATAACATATATGTGACTGATCTTTGTCTTAACCCTTTTATGCAGGACATGCCACTTTAATGACATACAATATAGTAACCAAACTTCTCGTGCTAGACCTGTGACCTTCACAATATATATGTTACCCATTCTTCTCTTAACCCCTTTTAACTCAGATATTGGACCTTAATAATATACAATATACTGACCACACCTTAAGCTCTTGAATTGTTAATTGTAAAGAATTACCATGACAAAATTGTTGTTTATAAAGAATTATCATGACAAAATTGTTGTTTATAAAGAATTACCATGACAAAATTGTTGTTACATAAGGAATTACCATGACAAAATTGTTGTTACATAAGGAATTACCATGACAAAATTGTTGTTACATAAGGAATTACCATGACAAAATTGTTGTTTATAAAGAATTACCATGACAAAATTGTTGTTACATAAGGAATTACCATGACAAAATTGTTGTTACATAAAAGACAGGTGCTCAACTGAGCAAAAAGTCACGCAATTCAAAAGAAGAAAAGAGAAATAACTGATTCATAAAAAAAAAACAACAACAACAACAACAAAACTCATGGCATATAGTTTCTCTCTTGGTAATATATTACAAAGACATAGCACGTTAACTAAACCTCCAAAGATAAACACAAAATACACCTGATTCTATACCGTACTCCATTTTGAGGAAACTTAATATCATACCAGTGAAAAGATGAAACTGGAAATATCTCAACGTGAAAAGGAAC